ACTAAGCCTAAAAGGTAGGCAACTCTTGCCGATCACAACTCCTTGTGATTCCCATCCTGTTCGACCTCCGAATCACCATGGTCTCGAGGGACTCGACCAACTATGATGCTCGGTTAAGTCAACACCTTCGTTACAAGATGAGTCAGATTTGATGATATACCCTCGAGGGACTCGACCAAGCATACCATGCCCTCAGGTCACCGGTGACATCTCTATGTCGTAAGCAATATAGCGAATAGCGATATAGGTGAGTCTCGAGGGACTCGACCAACTCAACCTACACCGGGAATCGGTTCCTACTTATAATGATGCAAGGCCACGTGGGTCAATCTAATTGCCTCACGTTTACCGACTTAATATTATCGAGAGAGATGTTTCTATGATTTGGTTTCCTAATATGACATGTCACACATATACATATTTAATATATATCTACATCGCATGCAAATATATATACATATCTAGTATGTGTATAAGCAATCACACTAGATGATCATGGACCACAACCTAATGTGATTAGGCCCAAGCCAGTAGGCCTAATCACTCACATCGAGATCTATGTGTGCAACGGTGCATCTCCATACCTTGTGATCGTCCATCTCGTCCTCGTTGGTTCTGTCGACATCTTGATGCATCTTCATGCATCGCGATTATCCGTCTTGTGGGTCCCGCTATAGCATCCACGCTCCCGCTGCGCCTCCTCATGTGATTACAACTTAGTCATAGGTTCACAGGCCCGACAATAAATGAGAAATATAATAGAGGCTCGCATACCTCAATAATAATAATCACAAGTACACACATCACACGGTCTATGATCATCCGTCCACACATCATACATCACATGTATAAATAATCATCATCATGTAGGACAACTAATTAATGATAAAAAATAATAATCAACTAAATCTTTTAATTAATTAGTATTTTATGAAATCAGGGACATATAGGGAATTTCTGAATTCATAGGGGTATTTTTATAATTTAGACAAAAGATAGAAACTGAAATTTCTAAAATTTCGAGGGGCAAAACTATCTTTTGACCAGAAAACCCTAATGCCCTACTCCCCTTTGCTGGTGCCGCCGCTGCCACCCTGCTGGCGGCGGCCTGTACGGTGGAGGGCGGGGCGCTGCCCTCGCCTGCAAACGGCACGCCCGCTGGCGACGCTGCCCCTGCAGGTGGGCGCCCCTACGGGCGCCGCCGCCTCCGCGGGCGGTGTTGACCCAACAGGTGGGCGCCCCTACGAGCGTTGCCGCCTCCGCAAGCGGTGTTGTCCCGCCGGGCGGCCGCCCCTACCGGTGAGTTTCGCCCGTGGGAGCAGCGGTAGCAGGCGCCGCTACCCTGCGGCCCCTCACCCCTCGGGAGAAGCGGCCGCAGGCGCCTCTGCCCGCGGGCTGCTAGCCCCGCCGACAGCAAGCCTACTGCAAGCAGGCCGGCGGCCGGCTGCTGCAAACGCAGCCCCTATGCTGCCTGCCTGCGGTTGCGTTGCACGCACATAGATCGAGAGCAGCAACTGTTGCTGCACTTTCTCGCTTTTACGTCAACGATTTTGATGTCAAAAGTTTTTCCTAAACACAACACACGTAGTTCAAAACCAATCATTCGCACGAACAACCAGGCTCTGATACCACTATTAGGAAATCTTGGGGGGTGACATCACATGCGCAGCGGAAGAACAAGAAAACAAAATCTCCGATTCCCAAAGAGATGTTCGTCGTCGTGCGAAGATTGGTGCGCAAAATCCGCGAAACTTAAAACTGCGTATAGAGTAGATTGTGTTACCTAGGGAGATCGTATATCCCTATTTCCTTGCAGATCCTTAGGTGAGGTTGAATGAGGTCAAGCGTCCTCCTCTCTAGCAGAGAGGAGGACCCTTGACCTATGAGGCTCTAGCCTATGAGGTGGAGAGGGGGAGGAGAATAAGAGAGGCAAGCAAAGGCTCTAGCCTATGAGGCTTTGAATCCCTCTTATTTATAGAAGTCCCCTGTCAAACCCTAATGGGTCCTCCCCTAGTGAGTATTGGATCTGCATCCAATAAGACAAGGGCTCCATCGGATATCTCATATCCGAACCTCTACTCATCGCAATACCTACCATATGCCTAATATCGAGCTGGCCATGAGTCATACCTATCAGAACTCCTTCTAACTCAGTGAATTTTTATCTCTATAATAATTCACTTACTCATCGACTACGGACGTACTAAGCCACTACGCCGTAGTCCCTAGACGATACAGGGGAATCCAATCCATTGGACCTGTCTGTCCTCAGTTACCGTGTACCTATAGTCCCTCATCCATCTAATATCCCTGAGACCGTATATCGAGCATGGTGCTGTCAGACCCATACGGTTTCTACTCGAGTATGCCATATGAGAATGCTGTCAGACCAATATCGAGCATGATAACTATAATCTTGATAGAATATAAATCATGCCTTATGGAAAAAGAAATATAGTTTCATAATATTTAAGGATATAAACTAAATAAATACCCTAAAAATATTAATTGGAATTTAGTTATCACATGCAAAAATATGCGAAACCTATAAAAGAATACGATAATCTATATATCTTTTATATTAAATAAGTCAAAATAAAAAATATATCAAAGTCAAAATTAATCAAAAATTTTAATTTTTGCTAGATTTGATCAAAATTAAATCTAATCAAACAATCAAAATATAGTCATAATTAAATTCAACCATAATTAAAAAATAAATTATATTGGTCAATTTTATAATTAATGATATAAATAAAAAATATTAATTTCTTAAGTGTAAAATTATAATTTTATTGATAGGAAATAAGTAGAATTATAGAGTTTCTTAGGGTAGAACTATCAAAAAAATTATAATTTTGAAAATAGAAACCCTTATTCCTATTATAAGAGGCACATGGTTTCCGCTTGGCTGCCACAATGCACGACCTGCACGGCCGCCATGATACATGACCAACGCGGCATGCAGTTGTCGCCTGCATGGCCACCACCTGCTACTATCACCATGTGTACATGCTGCCTGGAGTAGCTGCTTGTGACCAGCATATGCCGTTGTAGTGACACGCATGTAGCAATGTTGCTCTAGGCGCTATAGTTGCCATTAGTTGCAGTGCTATGCAACCACCACCATCGCCATAAGCAGCGGTATTGCTATCATCGACATATACAGCAATGTTGTTTAACCAGTACAATCGTTGTAGGGCTAGCAATCATCAAAGATCACAGCCCTCAATAATAGAACGATGGTCCATTGATCTAATGCAAGGAACCTCATGTTGCCGGCAAGTAGGCAATAAGACGGATTAAATAGAAAGGTAGATCAATAATATACATGAATCATTTAAGCATGGTAAATAAAAAACTAACAGATGTAAGGTATTTGATTTCAAAGAACTCGGCTCTTGTACCAATCGTAAACATAAAAATCATAATTTATTACTGTTATGTGAAAAAACTTTAATACAAAGACTGAAAGTAAATAACAATACTATCATATTTATGATGTATACCTTTTGATGTCATCTAAAGGGGCACTGTTCTCGAATTAGAAAATCATAGTAATATCGATCTGCAAACATAACTAGACTGACATTCTTCTCTTTTTCTATCACCGGACCATTGTGGTCGATGGATTAGGGATAAGAGTAGATGAGAGAAGAATCATGATCTCTCAATGACCGTCATGTATCCACATCTCTGGTCTCTTGTCTCCGTCTCATCTCATATACTATAGTCTCTAGAAAGTCCTATCTATTTATAGGTGATAGCAAATGATCTAAGATAAATAATTAGGAGAGTTATTCTCATTAAGATTATCTTCTAAAGAATCCTACTATATTGACTGATAATAATCATCAGAATTCAATTAGATTTATAATATATATTATTTAATTAGATAAGATCACATAATTACCACTATAATTATGCAATGAGTATAGAAGTATTGTCTCTCTACGTTGCTTTTCTAACGTTTGTTATTTCCTGAAGAATTGTAATATTTTTTTTGGTCTTTTACGTTCTAAATTCACTATAATATGTCTGAAAAAAAAAAACAAAGACTAAATGCAAAAAAAAAAGACTCCGGTTAACGTAAGACCAAAAAAACCTTTGGCATATACAATCTTATGCCGGCAGAGAAAATGGATACTTATGGCTTGAACCCCGTGTTTTAATTTACAAGGCTTTCATCCGTGAGTAGTATTATATTTGAAGTGATTTGAAACACATATTAAAAGATTGACAATTTGAATGAAGGAATAAAAAAGCAAAAAATCTAACGAGTGGCTGGTTCCTTCATGTTTATTTGTTGATATGTAATTTGTGTACTCTGTCTTTGACTAAAACGAATCTGTATTTCAACTCTTTTTTGTTTTGTATCTTTACTCTATCAATGGTACACCAGAAGAGTCTCAAATCACATCTTGTTGCATTAAATATTAAATAATTTGTTTTATTTGCAAAAAGGTAAGAAATACATTAATACAAAGATACTTTATAATGTGTGTGGGAATACAAGTACAAGTGACAATAGATCATGCACAACTTAAAGAGTATATAATAGAATTGACAAACAACCAACATAGATAGTCACTCATAGTCAAATCATTTTTCCAGTCGTTTTGCTACTTTCCTTAGAATAAACATCCTAGTCACTTGATTTTTCACTCTAGCTTTGGCAATGCCTTGTTACTGGCATCTGAATCTATCATCGTTTACAGTTCAAAAGCAAAATACATGGCTCCTTCGAATAAATTTCTACCAAGTTGTTGTAGTGATGTGTAAAAATAATCCATCGGCCAGTTTCCTTCTCCAAGAGTGAATTAAACAAACACTTCATGACAGTGATTGCAAAAAATATTTACTTGTGATAGTAAGTGTCATTTTCAAGGCATTTTAGCCTTTCTATTTAGGATCTCCATGGCACCTTAAAATTAGACCAATCTGAAGGTCACTAGTGTAAATGTTTTATTAGATCCATCGTTAATTTAACAACATAATCATGTGTACAATCTTCAAAAAGAATTTTGTTATTGTGTCAGCAAGAGGAGAATACGACAGGATATTTCAAACAGCAACAAGCAGAATTGATATATGTCTCTTTGTTTTCAATGGACAAAAGATTATCAAAACATCCACCTGGGAGACACCTGAATGACATTTCGATGAGGTCTCGTCATCTGCTCTAAGCTGTTCCGCTTCTTCAAGCTTGAGGAGACGGTCGGACTGCAATAATCATGACTCCGTTGAGGTAATGCTGCAGCTTGTGAATCCAATTTCTGTATCGGAATTATCGTATGCTGTTTCAGTAACACTGCTTTCCGTGCCACTGTGTTTTGCTTACCAAAAGTCCATCTGTTATAGTTAACACAACTCTGGCTTCTAGCAACAGTTTGGAGCTTGTTTTGTTGAGGACTTGGGATGTTTCTGCTTTCCATAGTTTCAGCTGAGTACATTGTTTCCTCTCCACTATCAAACCCATCCTTCTTCCCATTCTCCAAAGGACATGAACTTGACTGCACCTCACTGAAGCAATTATTTTGCCACGTACTAACAGGAGGAACCTTATGATTAGCTTCCCGATATGCTCTTGTTAATTCTTGTGACACAAAACCATTTTCATTCGATCGGTCTCCAGGTCTGTGGCCTTCAACATTGGCTTCATCAGAGAGCATCTGTCTGAGGGGAAGTGGTAAAAATATGGATTTTGGAGCCTTGGAAAGCATGCTAACATCCAAGAGCTGCAATGTGGCATGGTCTTTCTTCTCAACAGACCCAGAAAATTCTGGAGATAGAATTCCCTGCTCGGGAGTCAAACGCAGATCAGCAATTGGGTTTTCATTGTAGAAACTTTTTCCATTAGCTGAGCTGCTTGATCCAGGATAATATTTAGACCGTTGAACCATCTGTGATGATGACAATCGATCATTGTTGTCCTCATTGGTCTTGATGACCCGGCAAAAGGTGAAAGAAGCATTAGAATTTTCACACTGTCCTGTGGTCATCAACCGAATGAGAGATAACTTGGGCTTGCTAACCTCATCCAAGCTCCCTTCCCAATGCTGATATAACCAATTACAAATGACAGGAATGGGGATCCCAAATTGCATAGGAACATCCTTCTTCCATGAATTGGTTGATGAAGAGGATGCATAAGATCTTGCACTGGGAGAGGAGGCAAGTTTCATGGGATCACATACCATAAAAGCTAGATTTCCTTGTGCATCAAAACCAGCAGATCCAGGGCACAATGTGACCCCATCCATAGTCAATTTTATGAGGTTGTCAGTAGCTATTACTACTTTTCCCTCACCAAATGTCAGCTCTTTTTTATCTGTGTGCCCTAAAAGAAAAACTGTAGTACCCAGTTGAAGACTAGGCTTGCAGCAGGTTTTCAAGTACTGAGGCTGCTGCACCTGTGAGGATGAGTCACCACCCATTATATCAAGTCCCACAACTGTAAGATCAAGAATGGAACTTGTAATGAAGAATCTGAAAAAGGAATCACACTTATGAGGGAAACTATGCAGTCTGTCTAAGAGAAACATAGCTGCACCAGTAAGGGAATTAGCAATGAAAAAACAAATGACAAGGAATTAGAAGAACTAGGGTGCCCAATGAGCAAACCAACTAATATTGCAGGTGCAGAAATAATAGTTATTATATAGCACCATAAGTTATATCAATGAGATAACAAATTTACTGTATATTGAGCCACATAAGCACTTAATTGACATTTAATAGAAGATCATAAGTAACGATCACCTACTTCATATTGAAATGAAGAGAATCCATTTGATGTGCAAAGACAATTAAACTTCAAGGTGTAAGTCTAAGTGAAACAATTAACAAACAGAAAGGAAAGTTAACGCTATGCTAAATCAATTATACTAGAAAAGGTTAAATGTAAGAACTTTATCTCAAACACTCTATGACCACATGGTGAAACTTGAGGGTTGGAATTAGCAATTTGCTCAATCAAAATTGTTGTTGAATATAATGCCTTGTTATAGGTTAATATCTTTTTCTTTTTTGGAGAACTGATCATTAATTTGTTGTTGAATACTAATCATTAATCTAACTGAAACAATTAACAAACAAAAAGGAAAGTTAACGCCAAGCTAAATCAATTATCCTAGAGGTTAAATGTAAGAACTTTATCTCAAACACTCCATGACCACATGGTGAAACTTGAGAGTTGGAATTAGCAATTTGCTCAATCAAAATTGTTGTTGAATATAATGCTTGTATAGGTTGATATCATTTTTTTTTGGAGAACTTCTAGCTGATCATTAATTTGCATGACAGTGCAATTTATCAAATATGTCAAACATGAAGACGTTGATATTGATATAAAGGTCCTAGGATCAAATTCCATGTAACTGCATACCCTTTGCCAAGAAAAAAAAAAAAAAGAAGTCAAGCAATGCACCTCCCTGGTTCAAGTATGGTTGATGAAGATTGACAAAATTCTTTTAACTTAACCAATTTGACACCCACTCTTACGACTGCTGCAATTTTGTAACCTACAATGAAGCTTAGAGAACGCAAGATGTTAAAGGAGACATATGCTAGTGTATTCTATTAATGGATCAAAAACTTAGTGTTCCACCAAACTGGTGGAGGTCTAAAGGATGCTGGAAGAAGGCAAGGATTGAAAAGAGTTTTGATACTTTCTAAATAAAATTATATGCAGTTGAAGACTGATTCTAAAAAATGTATATGAAGTTATAAAAAAGAATTACAAGATGCTCCCAGAATAATTTCTTTGCAGTGCTTGTTCACACACACGTCAGAAGAAGGCAAGTTTTGAAAGAGAGTTCTCTATTCTGAAATAAGATATATTTAGAGGAAAACTGAAGAATGAAACTAGAAGTGGATTAAAACTACCAGAGATGAATAAGTTGGTAATAGATGAACTTTAATTGCTACTTCACCATATAAGATCTTCCCAATTTCCAGAAAACATACAAATAAGTTGGTCATAGACAAAACCAAGCAGTACTTCTATCAAAAATTAAAATGAATCTGATTGTGTGAATAAATAGTTAGAGGTAATAGGACTGTATGTGTCCTATGGGATATCAAAGTTATGAAGCTTTGACTGATTCTTCTGTTCCCAAAGGAACAGGTTGTCATAATATTGGAGTAGCTACAGTGGGCATATTGGCAGGCTTATTCCATCTTTGTTGTCCATCTATTCCAATGATATTCCTTGTCCATTAGTTACCTATTCCATCACTTTCTCGACTAAGCTCTTAAACCAACTTCCATTAGATTTTGTCAAGTTTGAGAGTCAATCAAGAACAAGAAGTTGCATTTTCAGAGACACTAAATTTGGTGAAGTAGATAGAATCTTTTCTCTGAGACACTATGCCATGGTTTTAGATGTCAAAAAAACCAATACATATCACCAATCTAACCAAGCACAGGTAATGAACCAGACAGCTGGGTGCCACTTGGTACACCATGTTTTATTATTACTTTTAGTAATAATGGGTAGTACATGGTGGTATACCACTCAGTTTCTCATGTCCTACTTAGTTCAATAGGTAATCAATACTCATATTGGACTAGTATTTAAAACCTTTAATTATGAATGGTAGTAAATATTTTACATGGTCAACCTATAAACATGTTTATAGTGAGACAACCAAAATTTAGATGGTCAATCTATTAACATTCTAAGATGACCTAACCAATAGATAGCCTGATTATTGCAAATTCTGCACTTACCAAAGAGTATATGGAAGTTCCAAATTAATGGAAAATTTATTTCCAGAAAAGTCTCAGTTTTATTTTTTTACCTGGTGTACCTTTTAGAGAATTTTCCTAGGAGCACCCCTTTTTTGTAAGTACCAATTTTGTAAGTATCAAAAAAAGGCATCAGAAATCTTGTTTATGCAGATAATAATCATAATCATTGCACATGTTTGGATCAAATTCATGCCAAGAATTAAATTTTATCATGATCCAGAAGAATTGCATACTAATACACAACATACGTGACAATTATTGCCAAATCTGACTGGGTGACTCATCCGTATTCCTGGGAAATGACAGCATCAAACAATGTGCTCAAAATTTTATCACAATCCAGATATAATTTTGAAAAAGAATGCAAACGAAGAGTATCATAATTTTACTAATTACGCAAAAACAAGTGTGCAAAAACTAAATATAGTGCAACACCCATATAAAAAACGAACTCATATAAGTGGGTAGATAAGAAATAAAAAAAGCTCCATCAGATAACAAAGGACTGGACTTACAATAGATGTTCCAGAACAGTATGAAAGAACACCAGATAGAAGCTAGTTTATGGAGTTCATACTAGACGACAAATTCCAACAATCAGTAACAAGATGGACCATGCTTTCCGTATCAAATGATGCATCATTAAGCACCGATCTCATAAACCATAGCTTATCTACCATATCATGCATCCAGGATCCACCTATGAGAAGCTAAAGGATGATAAACATTCTTTCATATCAAAAGAAAGATCTTTGTAATAAGATATCATGGAATTATTTGTGCAGAAGGATGTAAATATCACCATAGCAAGAAAAGGATGGATGCAGAATTTTCATTGTGACAAAAAGGCATATGGAAATGTGATGCTCTAAATGATAAAATCAGCCCTAAAGCTCATTACAATACTTAATACGTTAATTTTCAGAAAATATAAGTTGTACAATTTAGTCATCAAACTGAAGTTGATTAATTGATCACCAACCATAAGTGTCACCAATCCCTTTCAGCACTACAGATGTTCCTAAGTTCACCAATACTCGCACTGGCATCTAGTTATGCATTCTCTCTATGCTTCCGGGCTACACTAAATGGTTAAGAAACAGGAAGCCTATGACTAACCTAAATACGTTGATTTTGCTCATTTCCACATAAACAATCAAATTACCACCATTCCAATCTTAAGCCAAAAGTCCTTGATCAGTTCGTAGCTCGAATATCAGAATTCGTGCAACACATGGGCAAGGTCGACGAATCAAACATCGAACTAAAAATGAAGCCAAAATATGTCATAAATTATGAATTTTTCCTGAACAAGCGTGAGCAATTGACCTTTGGGGCACAAGTCTGGCAGAGAGGCGGCCATGGCAGAGGCGGACTTCGGCGGCCTCAGCAGCAACTACCGTCGGGAGGATGGCGTGAGTAGTAAGAAGAAGATTGCGGTGGATGAGGAACCCGGTCCCTCCACCACCCCAGCCCCAAACACCTCCGGCACCTACGGCCACGGAGATGGCGGCCAAGGCGGGACCCTTGGAGGTGAAGATGCTAACTTTGACCCGCTCCGATTTTCCTCGGCCGGCGAGGAAGCAACACCACGACCCCTCTTGCAGAACCCCCATCGCGATCCTTACTCCCTTCTCGCTTCGCTTCGAGCGCACCATTCACCCGGGAACCGAGGGCGCTACTCTTAAATATAGCCAGCAATGAGACACTCCTTTCCCATGTGGTTGGTGCTTCTAATCCTCTGATGATTTTTCAGCACTGTATAAAGAGAGAAATTGGGAGTTGCAGACCGCAGAGGAAAACAGAGCAATGCCAAGACGTGCATAAAGAGTAAAAAGATCCCATTGTCGGAGAAATCAAGACGTATGCCAGCTATTCCATTGCCTCTCTTTCCTCTTCCAGCATCAAGATTACATTCTGCATCTGAATTATAAGATGATAAATCAACTCATGAGAACGAAGTGATGTTCTCCACTGGTCGGGCCACTCATCGTCAAAGATCTAATCACTGAAATCCATGGATTCGAACATGTAAAAAGATGATAAAAAGTATAGCTTCATAGAGAGCTGAAAGCTTGTGTGACAAGCTGTAAGCAACCACTGGATCAGCTGCTTCTGAGGAATAAAGAAGGATCCATAGGCATGAACACAGAGTGGCACTCTTCATGGATTCACGCCTCACCGGCCAAATTAAGCATCAGTGACCATTATTTTATGCTACAGTGGTCTAAAAAGAAAATGCATTTAGCTTGCTGGATACATCGTTGAATGAGGTGGAACACTTGTAAAAGTTGTGCTCCGTTCGACGGTAGTGCAAAAGGTGGGCAAAATTTTATTTTGCAAATTGGGGTCCCATGCATGCCATGACCACATGGAGGCCACTGCATTGAGTTCTGAAGTTGAAATCTTTCTCTCTCTCTCTCTCTCTATCTCTCTCTCTAAGCGTCACTTCCTTCAACAAAGAGATTTATCAATTTATAGCTCACACTGCTTATCTGCTCAACAAATTGAATGCAACTGCTATGACATTTTTTTTTTTACCAAAAGCAAAAGCAAAAATGATTTGTATTGACCCAGAAACATACATCTATAACTATACTCTTCGAAGCACAAAACGACATGCAACTCAGGATGCATCAGACCAGGCATCATAAAATTTGATAGACATGACAATTTGCACAAGTCCAAGTCAATATGTACCAGGAATACTTTCTCTAAATATAACATTAAGATCTGTTTTATTAGGCATTAATTTTGCTAATCACAAGCTAATTTCCTGAGGTAATTAATCACTAACAGGACGAAGTAAAAACTTACTGTTCTAGGAATGAGGAATATAATAATAAAATTAAATGTCTCTATGAAGTCAATACCAGGATGTTGATGAAACCCTTTGGCCACTAGACACGTTTTATATCTGGCAACGGATCCATCTGGGTTTTGCTTAATCCGAAAGACCCACTTACACCCGATGATATTTTGTGTGAGATGAGTAGATACAAGTGTTAGGATCAAGAGCACTAAGAGGGGGGGGGTGAATTAGTGCAACGGAAAACTTTCGACGATTAAAAGTGTGTTCATACGTTGAAATCCGATTCCGACGTAAAAGTTATTTCATGCAGATAATAACTTTGAAAGCTTACCGAAATATATTTGAAGTAAAGTAAGGCAGGAAGTTTGCAGTTAAGATAGAAATCGTAATGTAAGCACAAACTGAAATATGATGTTCGTACGATAAAATTGATTTCCGACGTAAAACTGTTTTCGGAAACTTAACTTGAAAGTGAGTTTGTAAAAGAGCAGAAGGCAGTAAGCTATTGAGGAGGTTTGCAGTAAAGATAAAATGCTCAAGTAAATGCAAACTGAGATTTAGAGTGGTTCGGTCAATCTTGACCTACATCCACTTTTGGCTTCCTCCACCAACGAGGTCACCGACGTCCACTAGAGGCCTTCCTTCAATAGGCAAAGGCCAACCACCCTTTTACAGTTTCACTCCTTTTGACGGGCTTAGGAAACAACCCTTATAAACTTTTCTCTCCTCTCTTGAAAGATCAAAACTTCGAAAAAGAGGGAGGAGAACTTCTAGCCTTTACAATACTTTTGAGCTCTAAAAATCACAGAGTAAGATTGGATTTTTGGTGCCCTTTCATGCGGGAAAGGGTGGGGTATATATAGGCCCCAAACTAGTTTGAATTTGGAGCTAAAAAATGTCTTTTCCCAAATTTCCGGAGTCCTGGCGGTACCACCTCCTGTCTAGGGCGGTACAACCGCTTGGCAGCTTAGAGACTGAGCTTCTGGGCGGTGCCACCGCCTGCCTGGGGCGGTTGCACCGCCCAGCTTTCCTGGGAGACCCTCTCCTAGGCGGTGCCACCTCCTAGTAGGAATTCTGGTCCGAATGGGTTGATCCATTCAACCCAATTTGGGTCTGTCAAGGGCCTAATTTTTCCCAAATTAAGTTAATGGGATCACCTCCCATTCCTAACTTAATCTACATGCTAACTATGATAATTCTTAAGACATTTACTACAGCTTGCTCCGGTGCGTCAATCTCTTCTTCCGAAGAGCTTCCGGCGAACTTCCGGCGAACATCCGACGAACCTCCGACGATACTCCGACGGACTTCCGGCAAACTCCTGGACTTGCGACGATCCACTTGGCGAGTTCCGATGAGCTTCTTTTGGCAAGCTCCTTGACTTCTCGGATTTGTTCCCGTAGAACCTCCGACGACCGTCCGGACTTCCGTCGAGCTCTCGAACTCCCAACGTGATCATAGTCTTCGACTCCGGCTCAACTCCTGCTGCATGTCTTACTTTCATCGTAGTTAATCCTGCACACTTATCTCAACATATAGATTAGATAACAAATGACAATTGACTTCATCATCAAAATCCGAGATACAACAATTGGTATCAGAGCCATGATGTTGATGTATTGCCATAATACTAAACATCAACTAGCTTAGTTTTAATCGTCGAAAGTTTTTCGCTACACTAATTCACCCTCCCCCCTCTTAGTGCTCTTGATCCTAACAATTGGTATCAGAGCGGGGTTAACTCTCAAACGGATTAAAACCCAAGAGAGATGGCATACGTCGGAAACCAAGAGTTCCACTCTATTACACGTTCACCCATGTTTAATGGGACGGACTACACCTATTGGAAGACCCAAATGAGGATCTTCCTTATTTCAATGGATTTTGAACTTTGGAATCTTGTCGAAAATGGATTTTCAAAGTCTTCTCTTCCAATGATTGATTGGAATGAATTAGAGAAGAAGACTTTCGCTCTTAATGCAAAGGATATGAATACCTTATTTTGTGCGCTTGATAAAAATGAGTTCAATCGTGTTTCGGTTTGTGAAACCGCGTTTGATATTTGGCATATACTCGAAGTAACTCATGAAGGCACAAGTAGAGTGAAAGAGTCAAAAATCAATCTTTTGATACATTCTTTTGAACTTTTCCGAATGAAACCGAGCGAGACTATTGACGACATGTACACCCGTTTCACGGATGTCATCAATGGTCTAAAAGGACTCGGCAAAAGTTTTTTGGATTTTGAGCTCGTAAATAAGATTCTAAGATCCCTTCCTAAGAGTTGGGACCCTAAAGTCACTGCTATTCAAGAGGCTAAAGATTTAAACAACTTCCCTCTTGAAAAACTAATCGGGTCATTAATGACCTATGAAATGATTTGCAAGACTCATGAAGAGCAAGAAGACATCCTTCCAAAGAACAAGAAGGATATGACACTTAGAACTTTAGATGACCACTTGAGAGAAAACTCAAGTGATGAGAACTGTGACGATGACTTGGCACTTATAACAAGGAAATTCAAAAAAATTATTAAGAGAAACAAGTTTAAAAGTGACACAAAAAATAAACTTGAACCCAAAAAGGACCAAGTTGTTTGTTACGAATGCAAAAAGTCAGGAAACTACAAAAGTGATTGTCCCCAAGCCAAGAAGAGAACATCAAAGAAGAAGGTGTTTAAAGCAACGTTGGATGACTCGAGTGCATCCGAAGAAGAGGAGTCCAACACCGAGCAAGTTGCTCATTATGCCTTAATGGCCATCGGAGAAGAGGTAACAAATTTAATTGATGCAGATTTATCATTTGATGAATTATTAAATGCCTTCCATGACTTATTTGATGAATGCAAAATAATTAATAGAAAATATAAATTACTGAAAAATAAGCATGATAGTCTTGTTAGCAATTTTGATAAATTAAAAACTGAATATCACGATAGTTTAGCTCAATGTGAAAAATGCCATGATCTAGAAACTCTTCAAAAGGAAAACTTGCTACTTAAGGATACCTTGAAGAAATTTGAGGTTGGTAGCAAGTCTTTGAACATGATTCTTGCAAACAAGGGTCACGTTCCCAAAAGAAGTGGAATCAGATTTGTGAGAAGTCCTCACCAAAATCCAACCACCTTCATAAAAGGCACTATCTTACATGTTCAACACCAAAGCAAATGTAACTTTTGTTGCAAACATGGATATAAAACGTATCATTGTCCATTTAAGAAAATTAGTTCGAACAAAATGATTTGGGTTCCTAAAGGAACCATGATAAACTCTATGCAACATAATAAACAATGTAGATCAGTTTTTGAGGCACCCAAACGTAAATGGGTACCTAAAAATTATCCTTTCTTATAGAGACATTCACCATCACAAGCTAAGAGCAAGAGATGGTACCTTGATAGTGGATGCTCAAGGCATATGACCGAAGATCCATCTCAATTCTCTAAGCTCACTAGCATAGACGAAGGCTATGTCACCTTCGGAGACAATAACAAGGGTAAAATCATTGGCAAAGGAACTATAGGTAACAAATCCAACTTCTTTATTGATGATGTTTTGTTAGTTGATGGTTTAAAACATAACCTCTTAAGTATTAGTCAATTATGTGATAAAGGATATATCGTCAAATTCGAATCTAATGCATCATTGAAAAACCACACCAAAACATATGTATGATTGCATTAAAACAAAATAACGTATACACCATTGACATCAATGATCTTTGCAATGAAATGTGTTTCTCGGTTTTGAATGAGGATACTTGGCTTTGGCATAGGAGATTAGGTCATGCTAGCATGAAACTAATCACTCAAATATCATCCAAAGAACTTGTAGGAGGAATTCCTCATATGAAGTTCATCAAAGATAACGTGTGTGATGCTTGTCAATTAGGAAAACAAACTAAGAGTACTTTCAAATCTAAGAATCAAATAAGCACCTCTACGCCCTTACAATTGATCCATATGGATTTGTTTGGACCAATCTCTACATCAAGCCTAGGAGATAGCAAATACATCTTTGTCATTGTAGATGACTATAGTAGATACACATGGACTTACTTCTTGAAACACAAAAATGAATGCTTTAAATATTTCACCAAGTTTTGTGAACTTGTTCAAAATGAAAAGGGTTTTATGATTTCATCAATTCGAAGTGATCACGGTGGAGAATTTCAAAACTGTGATTTTCAAGAATTTTGTGAATCTAATGGATACAACCACAACTTCTCCACTCCAAGAAATCTTCAACAAAATGAAGTAGTAGAAAGAACAAATAGAAATTTACAAGAAATGACAAGAACCATGTTAAATGAACATAGCCTACCCAAATACTTTTGAGCCGAAGCTGTAAA